TTTTCCTTTTTTAACAAAGCAACGAATCCTTCTTTTTTGCCTCTCATGGAAGGTGCGCCATCGGTGCAGACACTGACTAAATTACTGACATTCAATTGTAATTTATTACATACTTCTTTGAAGTTTTCGAAAATATCGGCTCCTCGAGTTCTTCCAGTTAGTGTACCCAACGCAAGTAGTTCTTCGTAACATTGAAAATCTTTAGTTATAGCACGAATAAAATATAAAACTTGTGCCGAATCTGTTTTATCAGTGCTTTCATCTAAAGCAATTGAAAAATAAACATCTTCATTTTGTATAATTGTATGAAGTTGCTCTGTTACATTTTGCGCTAATTCGTGCTGTCGATCTGTTACAGTTCTTCTTGAAAGAGGTAATTGTTTGTATTTGTCGACATTTCTTGGATCTAACATACTCACTGCTTCAACAATACATTCTTTAATTATTTCAATGTCACTAAATGGTTTGCCCCTTTTTCCAAGTATATGTGCTATTTTATACGTAACAGCAACTGCAGCGGAATTTTGATTTACAAAGGCACTAAAAGATGCCTGCTGATGATGCTTCTCATTTTTCAACTTTTGAAGTGCAGCTTTTCGTGATTCACCTTCTAAAGCGAAATATTTATGTTCTTTATGAGTCAAATAGTGTTTATTTGCATTCGCTTTTTTTAAAGTATTTAAAACTGTATTGCACAACAAACACATCATTTTATCTTTCTCAGCAGTAAAGAAAAAATCTAACTCCCATTCTACATTAAATGTTCTGTTTTCATCACCTAATTTTCTTCTCTTACTATTTGACATGATGGATAAAAAAACGAATATCAAATAATATCTTTAACAAAGTGTATACTTTCTAGAAATACAATAAAACCGTGTAACTGTTATAAGCACTCACTGTTAACTACAGTTTGCTGAAGATCGCAACAGGGAAGCGTTGAGAGATGCGAGTCAGAGAAGCCAAAGCAAGGTGTGACACTCAAATGGGAGATCTGAAACCGAGTTTTGTTTACTTCTTAGACAAGGTAGTTGGCGCTGCTAGCGCTTTTTAAACAGTTTTTTAAAAAATTAACATTGAGTGTCCAAGTCTGAAACGGATGGTCTGTGGGCCAGAGCCTCGCTCATGCGTGTTAGAGTCCGTTTCAGACTAGTATTCTGACGTCATGTTACAATATGACTGTCTTTGGCGGGATTTTTCGCGCAACTGTCATGGCGTTGATGTACAATAGTTGTTTGAAACGAACTCTACCATTTTTGTACTAGGTGGCAAAGGGCCGCACAAGAACCTCGCGGAGGCCGCAGATTCCCCACCTAGGGTCTAATATAAAGATTTCTTTAAAAATTAATAGATACACTTACTTACTATTATTTATTTCTTTGAATAATTTTAACAAAAAGTATCATCAATAAGTCTATGCATGCATGTTATTAAAAGAAATTAATCTAGAAATATAATTTGCATCAATAACAAATTCTATATTCTTTGAAACATTTCATTAAACAAGTCTGCAAAAATATTTTAATAATATATTTAAAACAAAGTATAAAAATAAATTACCTGATCGTCACTAACTTCCACGCATCTAATTGAAAATGATGGTTCTAAATGAGCAAATCCTAAAAGTGGTGGTTTTGAACAACTTGTAACAAACTAAATATCAATATTAGTTATTAATTAATTATATTCAATATAGACGAGAATTAATAATTTGTATATATTGAAATCTTACTTTTAAAAATAACCTGTGTTCTTCTGGAGTGAAGTCTTTTTCAAGTATATCCCATAACCAATTAATAACTCTGTGATTATTATGGAATCCGCCGAAATATTTAGTATTTCGTCTAAAAAAGAAAATGATACTTATTTAAAAAGAAATATTTATGAAATATTATTTTAAAACTTTTTTTAATTCTACTCATCAGCATCTTTTAGCATCCTTCACTATTAAGAATGAATTTCAATAAAATATCATGATTCCAATATATCAGTGAGATTTAACATTATTTATTAAATATTAACATTTATTTTTCTGAAATGTGTGACTTGATAAAGTTAGGTTAACACTGCCATATGAACCTCTATAAAGGGATATAAAGTTCCAGTTTGTCCCCTTTCAGCTAGTTCATTAAGAGTTGAAAATATTTCAACTTCTGCTGAACTGCGGTTCATTCAAACAATCAACTTTCACATCTAGTTCGTTTATCCAATCATCAGACAGCAGGAAAAGTTAATTATTATGTCATATTATTATTATATTGCTATGTATTCTCAATAATAATATTACTACTTAGTTAACAATAATGTAACATAAACTTTATGTAATTCTGTTTAAAAAATAAATTAATTTGTAAGAAATATCAATTGTTTAATAACAACAAGTGAAATTTCCTCAATCTCTTAAAAATACCCTTATGTTTGAGGAAAATTCTTTAAAATTGAGGCATGTAAACTAAATCATTTTAAGCAATCACATTCTATCTTAGTTTGTGTCAAGTGGTACAATGCAAACAATTACTCTTCATTTTGTTTGTTCATAGCGGTTCGTATGCCGTAGTGGTTCTAGCTTAAAACTCAAAAATGGGAAACATTCTTGCAGGAAATAAACAGTGAGCACAATAAAGCCTACAAATGCATTCATTTCTTAGTAATGATATGAGAATTTTTACAAAAATGAAGATTTGTATAGTGAGAGAAATTCCTTCATCATAAACCATAATGTGGTATAACTTTGAAATAAAAAAATGCATTTTTTTTATTTCAATGCTAATTTAATTCTGTCTACACTTGTACTTGTCTTATACAAAATTTACCAGTTAACTAGTGTTCATGTAGACACTATTATAAATATTATGAAAAAGTTCAAACCCTATTGAATTGCAGCAAATTTTCCAAACTCTGGACATCAATGAAAACCAGTTTGTGACGATAGAAAAATACTGCAAGAAGAAAAAAGAAACTATTTTTATTAGCTTCCAAAATAATGCAATATTTTACAGACAGACCAACAAGTACATGAATGAAATCAATTGCGTAGTTTTGGTCTAATGAGTTGTCGTGCTAGGAAAAAAAACTGCTACTTTTAAAAGCACATATAAAGAAACACCAAAATTTCACTATAAATGACTGGAAACAACTTTCACTTTGATCTCATCTGATCACAAATCTTTTTGGATCAGATGGAGTTGTCAGAGTTTGGTGAGACATATGAGAAGCCTTGGACAAAAAAAAGCTTGTTGTTAAAACTGTTAAACATGAAGGGGGTAGCAAAATGATTTAGGGTTGTATGTCTTAATAGGTGTAGGAAATCTTGAATTAATCAATGGAATCATGAACAAAGAACTCTACCTTTAGATCCTGAAGGAGCATATTATTCCATTGATTCATAAACTGTCTTGGAAAGAAGTATATTTTTGAACAAGAAAAGATCCCAAGCACACAGCTAGGATTAAGTTATTACATCCGGGTTCCAAAGAATGATCAAAACACTAGACTGATCTCCACAATCTCCAGACTTTAATATTAACCACAAAATCTTGTATAATTTGAAGGAGTGATTCTTCAATTCTTCAAGTTTTACAAGACTTCAAGGATGAAATGAACACTTGTGATCTATATTAAGTCTGGAGATTAAAGAACTAACAGTTTGTCTGGTTAAGGAAAAATGGCCCAATAATGCTAATAATGTAATTGTAAGATTGGTGGAATTCGTGCCAAGAAGAGTTGGTGCAGTCCTTAAGGCCAAGGAGTTTACATATTAATCTGTAGCACTTTGTTTGAAACTGTAAAACAAGCAATTATTTATTGTGACATCATCACAATGCCAGGCTGCAATTTTTAATCATATATTTTAAATTTATTTAATTTAAAATATAGCCTCTCCATCTCAAATTAGTAGTGGCTAGCCCTTGTACATCATACTTTTTTGTTAATAATAGTCGTGCCAGTCATCTACCTAACAGCTTTCAGGGAAAAAGTTTTGAATTGAAATAACATGACTTCCGGTTTGCATCAGAACATTTAGTTAATCAGGCCCTCCTGCCCCTAAGGTTTCCATATCTGGTTTTGTCTTTCTAACTCTATTCTTGAGATTAAGGAAAGTCAGACATCCAGACGGATGTCAGTGGAAATTTATAGGTCTAAAACTTTTTAAAATTGCAGCTCAATCAGGGTGGGATTCTTTTTTGAGTTATAATTTTCTACTTGTTAATAAAAATCTAGGACTAATTTAAATGAAGCATTAGAAAACTGTATGTCAGTGTAATTCATTACTATTTTTTAATCTTTCAATATTTTTTTGTAAACATCTAAAATATTGTTTTCAATTAAAAGATTGCAATGTTTTCTGAAAAACCTTGAATAAAATGGAAAATATTTTTTGACATACTATATAAATTAATTATAATATCCTATAATAAATTCTTCTAAAATAAATGTATTNAGTGAATTAGTAAATTCAGGTGAAACATAATTGATATTAATATAGTACCTATTATTAATTATTTAAACTACACTCATGTTTGTGAAAATTGCAACACCATGAAGGAATTGTGCAAATTGAACCAAACTTACAGGAAATGTATAGTGAGGTAAGACATGCAAATGAGTAGAATTACAAAGCGATTGCACATGGAACGAGAATCGGCTCCTTATCAGCCGCCTGTTCCAGGTATATAAAGGACTGTAAAGATGCGTTGAAATCCCTTTTTTGTCCTCTGTCTGCAGTAAACGTTTCATTGGTGGTCAATATGCCTCGTCAAAAGCGGAGAAAGCCATACCAACAACTAATGGAGTTCGGACAAGACTGCATCGTCAGTATGTGATAGGGTAGATTTTTGTATCGAGAAATTGCAGCCCGCACGCAGCGTAAAGCCACAATAGGGATGCATGTTTGGAAAAAATGGACAGAGGAGAACCAAATAAGGCAAAAACCTGGCAGTGGGGCAAGCAATAACACAACGGCACGGGACGACAGACACCTCATCCACATGGCTGTGACAGACGGACCGTACAGCATCCTCTCATGTGTTAGCACAATGCTGGAGTATGACTACAGGTGTTTTGTTGTCTAGCTCCACGGTTTGTCGCCATCTGCTGCAACATGAACTGTGTGCAAAGGTTCCTCTATGCAGGATTCCCCTCTCGCTGATTCACAGATGCCTTCGACTTCAATGGGCTCGGCAACACAGCATGTGGCATGCCCAGTGGCAACAAGTTATTTTTTCCGACGAATCTCACTACAATATGAAGTACAATGATATAAGAGTACATGTCAGACGTTACAGAGGGGAACGTCTGCTCCCACAGTGTGTTATCTGGCATCATACTGCACAAATGCCTAGCATCATGGTGTGGGGAGCTATTGGGTATAATTGTCGATCCCATCTAGTGCACATTGCGGGCAACCCCAACAGTGATCGCTACATATGGGAAATTGTGGAGCCAGAGGTCCTCTCCCTTCTTCAATGCATTATGGATGCTGTATTTCAGCAGGATAATTCCCATGCACATGTTTCTTGGACTGCACAAGCCTTCTTCAGTGCACAACAGGTTTTGCTTCTTCCATGGCATGCTTATTCCCCGGATATGTTGCTCATCGAGCATATCTGGGATTTCATTGGTCGGCGACTCGTTTGTACAGCTGGTGGGGTACACAATAAGACAACTTTGGCGTCAAGTTGAAGCCATCTGGAATGCCATTCCCCAGGATTACATTCAGAACCTGTACAATTCAATGCCATGACGTGTACAGGCTCTTATCGCTCAGCGTGGCAGACACACAAAGTACTAATCTCTGACATTCTTTGTTTTTTTTGTGTTGTAAATTTAATCGTTTACTTGTACCACTATCAGTAATATGTGGAATATATTTCATTAATTTCTGACAATTCCTTCATGGTGTTGCAATTTTCACACATGAGTGTATATATGTAGTTTCCCATGATTTTGCTCTCTTCCCCTTCTTTTCCCCCTTAAACTCTTTTTACCTGAGGCACTGTAACACACATGTCTATTATATATGCTATTCTGAAATCATCACAAGAATCCTCTATCAACAATCAGCCCTGATGAGAGGATGAATGAACAATCCTTATAGGGGGTTAAAAGCCTGTTTTTTAATTAAATTTTTTTTCTCTGCAAGGACACCTCTCCTCAACACACCACAGTGATAAGATAGAAAAATCTCTGCCAAACAAAAAGATTATCCAGTCAGATCCAGTTGGGTTGTTTGAGATAGGACAGGTAGTGGAAATATGGTCAGGGGAGGGAAATGGCAATTTTAATGGAATCTGTGCTATCTCTCCATGGAGTTGTCAACAGTCCCATAAATACATATAATATATGGTATATATATATATATATACACACCATATATTATATGTATATATATATATATACAACTTTTATTTCCTGGAGATTAATCAATAAAATATGGTATGTATGTATATATATATATATATATACATACCATATTTTATTGATTAATCTCCAGGAAATAAAAGTTGAAAAATTAAACCTTGGGCTGAAAAGCATAAAAAACATGTTGAAGTTTGCACATTATAGGTCAATGTAGTTTATCAGAGCTGAAGCTTTTAGTAGAATTTTTAAAAATATATCTGCAATGTTGAAACTCTTTATATTGCTTGAGACTACATTTTCAGGATTGAACTTCATACTCCTCATCTAATTAATAAAACTGTCTAAAGTATCATGAAATTTGTTTATTCATCCTCTTCGTAATGCATATAATATTGAAGAAAAAGTTTTAATAACAAAAAGATTTATCAATGGATGGAGTACCTGGAGTACCAATTATGGTGACAGTATTAATGAATGCAATTTACTCTGAAGATTCAAATAATTTCAATAATGATATCTAATAGAATCACTATCCCAATTTCAGGCAAGAACTTTAAAATCTCCTCAATCTTTCTGATATCAAAAAACTTAGATGAACACCAAGAATGATAAGAAGCAATTATTAAACCAGAGACATTTTAGCAATATTTAATATTTTAATCATTCCTATCTGTCTAAACTGAATAAACATATTATTTATTAGAAAAAGAAAACACTGTTTCTACCTATCAACTGTCTGCAAGCCCTTAACAAATCAAAATTTTTACATGCAAAAAAGCATGATTATGAAACTTTTTCCCATTTAGCCATAGTGTTTTGATAAGGAATATACACTTTCCAGCTCATTATCATCACCACTGACTTAATATGATCCTTTTTGCTATGATTAAGTTTGTCTTTCTTATAGAACTTGTTTATTATTTTAACCTTACTTCTGATATATGAATCTACACTTTTAACAAAATTTTAAATGATAATACATTTAATCAAAAAATTAAAGAACTGATTAATGTGTTTTATTTACATTTTCAATGGCTAAATTGGACATTATAATATTTTCTAGTCTCCTTTATTTTTTGCTAAATCTAATGAGGAATTAAATAATAATTTATATATATATATATATATATATATATATATATANTGTGTTATTTGAGTCTGCTAGAGTTACTGCTTTATGTAACTGTGATGTTTCTTGTTTTTGTAGAAAAACTCTCATGGTGACTGTATTTGTTTGTTGTGAAGGTTAACTATGCCAATTAGGCCATGTTCACCATCTTTACATGGAAGGGTTAATCTTTCTGTGACAGATTTAGGATGATGTTATTTATGCTTAATAAGTGTTGTTCTTGTTTTCGTTTGGAGTTGTTCAAGATCTGTGTGAATCCAATGTATAAACACAACTTATGTGCTTATTGCTTTAACTGTGTGATTTGCATAGTATTATGAAGCAGCATTGCTTACTAAAGAGAATGATATTAAAATAAAAATTTTATTCTATGTAGGTCTATATACTACTATCACCTTTATATATGTCAAACTTTTATATAGTTCTGGATCAAGAGATGGTAGCTCATCTATTGAACTGTACAGAGCACTGTGCTGATGGCCTAATACTTGACTTAAAAAGAAAGATGCAAAAGGAACATCTACAACAATTCCCTAAAAATAAAAAATTCAATATTATAGAATAAATGCTTTTGGTTAAATTTTTTAACTAAAATTCAACACAATGAATTCATCATTGTCAATATTTAAAGATGTAATATACATATTTAAATTTTCATTCAAAGGAATAAAAAAGAAATTTTTTTTTTTCAGTAAAGAAAATATTTTATTTTTTTCATATGTTTAATCAAATCATTTAAAATAAATTTAATTATTACTACCTCATAAACTGCTTTTCCAAGCATTTTTCCTACAAATTCAAACAATGAAAGATGACTTTCTTGTATATATGATGTTGGAGATGGATACAGACGCTGCTCACTAGTAATCTATAGTACCAAACATGTATGACATTATATGTTTAGAATAAATAAAATTATTTTGATAGAAATTTAAATATATTTCATATCTATATCACAGTTACTGCTTATCTTAGTAGTTGATAACTATATTTTAGATCAAAATAAAAAAAACTAATACATAATTTAATAATCTTAACTTAGTGTATTATACATAAATTTCTGACATATATGATGATAAATTACATACATATATTACATATCTATGTAAAGCATTCGAAAGATGATGGTAATCTGTAAATCTAATGAAGTCCAACATTATTTCAAAGAAAAATTATTTATCTATAATGTTCAACATTAATAAATTAAGCCTATAAAACATGTTTCTTTCCAGATTTTAATTTAAATAATTTTGTGTATTAAAATGTATAAATATTAATTATTTAAATATGATCTTACATATTGACAATTTAAAATTTTTTAAAAACACTTTTACCAAAACAATGAATAACTGTTTAATATTTAAAAATAAAATACATGTGACAAAATATCAGGTTGTAAAGGTAAAGTTTAGACATTTTGAATAAAAATTTATTGACAATTAACTCAACAACAACAGTTCAGCCTAATAGATAATCACCATCAATATCAATCACATCTCACCTTTGCTGCAAATTTCCACTCCCATAAGTATAGAATGTCTGGGCTTTTCTTTGAAGAAAGTCTCATGAATTGAGTATTGTCATTAAACTGTATATTATTGGCATTATGGTTCTGCAGAGATAAAATAAATGGTAGTCAGTTGTCACCAAGTCTGGGCTTAAACTGGATGAAGCAGAACTTTCCAGCTCAGACTGGCCAGTTTCTTTAAGGTCATCTTTGCTCTGTGTGTTTGTGTACTGTTGTGGCAATATATTTTATCAATTTTTGGACTGTATGAGAACATTCAAGTTACTATGATAATTCTCTGGTAGTCAATTAGTTGCAGGAGAATGTCATCATCAATGGTGGAATTGCTGTCTGGATGGGGTTCATCTTAAAGCAAAAAATCTCCAACCTTGAATTTTTTGAACCAATTGTAGCAGGTCTGTCTGTTGATTGTAGTCACCAAATACTTTGCAAATGAGATTGTGAGCATTTGTTGCATTGTGGCCACTTTTGAAGTGATTGAAATAGAGCATACAAATGTTTTTTTTTTTTTTTTTTTAAAGTTTCATACTGTCAGATATTGTAGATACATCTGTTTCCAAAGAAATTTGTGATAAAATTCTCCCAGGCTTCTGTACTTATATACCCACATTGGAAAAAATGTTTTAGAATGTTTAGTCATTTCTAAAAAAATCACAATGACTAAATTTCACCTTTATAACTTGATAAATTCTATTAAAAGTAAATAATGTAGAAGTATCATAAATTTTCATACTATAGTAGAACCCCAATTATTCAAGGCAATCCTGTAAGTGAATACAACTATAAGAAGAGTAAATCTCAGCTACATTTCAAAACAAAATAATACTAAAATATATACTTTTTTCAGATTTCCCTTTAATATAGTGTCTATTTTCAATATATGCATCTATGGTAGTGTTAGTGTCTATTTTCAATATATGCATCTATGGTAGTGTTAGTGTCTATTTTCAATATATGCATCTAATGGTGTATAATATAATAAATACTTAGATAAATTTTTATTCAAAATAAAATTATTTGTAACTTCTTTTGTTGTTAGAAAGATAAACTCAGTTTTTAGTATATGATGNAGTTTAATTTTTTTACTATATATCCTAATTGTTATGTTAAACATTGATTTGCATTTTAAAATATAATGGAGAACTATATTTCAGAACACTCCAATTAAACACACTTTTCTCATAATTCTGATGTTTTTTTTAGCAAATATTGAAAACAGAGTGAGTAAGTGAACAATAATGAAATTTCAATAGTAATTTAAACTGCAAAGAGAATCTTTTAGATATTCAAAAGTTAATACCTCAAATCTATTAAATCAATAGGAGTATTATCTCCTGAGATAAGTCTCTGTAATTCTGGAGTTGAAAACATTGTTAACCAATCTGGATTAACTAATGATCGAAAACCACGAATGAATGCCGTTGTTTGTTCATGTATTTGCACATGCATTCGAAAATGAGCCATATGATGTATATAACTAATTCTGGAAAAGATTAACAGATATAATTTTAAATAATGGGAAAGAACTACAAAATTTATGTTTAAATAAATATTTATTTATATTATAGATATAAGTTAATAACTACTACTTGTTTTCATTTGTTACTGGTACAGCTTTTCCACCGGGAATCAATTCATGGGTAATTAATTTTCCCATAAAATCTTCATCCAAGGAAAATGTAAGATCCAGTTCTTGTATATCATTCTTATAATGCTATTGGAAAATAGTTAAGTCAAAGTTAGTTAGCAAAGTGAAAAAGTTATATTTAATCTGAAAAATTTATATATCATTAAATTTCAAATATAAATAATAATTTAATTATTTTATTATTTTTAAATTCAAACTCTGGCTTTTGCACCAAAACTGAAATTAATTAATTAAAATTAAAATCAAATCAATTAAAACATAATATTTCAGAAAGTGTGGATAAAGTAATAAAGTACTTGTTGTCCATCTTAATTGATTTGGTTGTAGTTCATCCAGGCAGAATAATTACAGAAAAATTGTTTTAAATGTTTTACTACCCCCAACTACTCTTTGACATACNCATAATACAATTCTTGTTAAACAAGTTACTAAACATCAAGCCATTTTAAATTATTAAATTAGTCTCCAAATAACAACAACAAAAATCTAAATATTTGTTTAAATTGAGTAAAAATAGTCTCTATTTTATTAGAACTTATCTTCATATTTTATGGACCTGATTAAATTTAAAATCAAATTATTTTTTAGACATAAGAAAAATATAGAATAAGCTGTTTCATTATTTCCTACATACAGTATTATCAAAGATCATAGCATTATACTTTTTTTACTTGTTACATTGAAGTTTTTGAAATTCTTCCTTAATTAGTGAATCAGATTTGTTTATCAGATCTGAGTTTAATATTCATTTAAATCAAACATCTAAAAAACAAATGTTTTAATTAAATTAATATTGGTAGTGTACTTATATAGAATTGTAATACAGAGTACAAAACATTTTTTTTAGAACTTCATATTACAGTACAGTATTATTTACAGATGTACAGCATTATTTAAAATGTTTTAATTAAATTAATTTTGTTTGTGTACTTATATAGAATTGTAATACAGAGTACAAAACATTTTTTTTAGAACTTCATATAGGTGAACATAAGTAAGGTTTTACTATTATTGTTTATTTAATTTTAATTTTTTTGTGGTCAAAATTTCTCAAACTACAAGAGCCAAAGGAAATAATCTGCTGCTTTAGAAGAAAAAATTTCTAGATATTCAAAATTTTAAATATGGCATAATTTGAAAATAATAATAATGAAATTTACCTATTTAAACATGTAGTTTTACATATCAATTTATTTATTGTATACTGGCACAATGAAGTGACCTCTTAACTAATACTTGCCAAGTTGGAAAACTTGCCAAGTGTTGATTAAGAGGTCACTTCATTGTCCCAGTATACAATATATAAATAACAACACGGTTTCGATAATAAAAAAAATATAAATTTATGTAATGTGTAGTTACGAGCAAGATTAACTCATTATTCCATTTTATAGATTAAAAATTTTTAAAAACTCATATTTTTTTAGACAAATATTTTTCAAAAGTTAACTTACCTTTATTCTATTAATTTAAATCAAACTTAATTTTTATATATGTTACCGCTAAAGCTCGAAAGTTGTTAATGTGTACATTACCTAGGGTGATCCATTAAAGTTGTGAAAATTGTTCCATTTCTCAAATTACCTAGATAATGTGCAGAGTATCTAAGTAATCCGCACATTACCTACTAGGCACTCGGTAAAGTGAAAATAAGATCTTTGCCACAAATAAATGTACCACAAATAGGTGTGCTTGTCGCAAAAACCAATTGCTATGAAATTCAAAGTGTCACCAATCTTTAGACTGCACTA